CTGTGGGAATCAAAGTAGAGATGAATGGGTAAATAGTGCATATAGTTTGGATTCTAGTTTTGTGCTTATAGAGAAACCACTTATTTTTCCTCAATTTTATGATATGCAGAATACAGGGGTAAGGGTAACATAGCTTTAAGACTTTGTCTACCTTTAATATTTCATGATTCTAAGATTCTGAAGAAGCAAGCTCTTTGGAAATGAAGTTCTTAAGTATAAAGGACTTGGAAGGATGTTCCATCTGGCAGAGAAAGCATGGTATGAAAGCCAGGTTAAGGCATGAATCTTGACCCTTCTTCCCACCCCCATGCACCCACAACCAACATAATGACTATGTAAATGTGTACAAGTTTGGTGACCTCTCCTAGCCCTACTTATTTTCTCTATGGAAAAAAAAAAGCTATTTTTCTATGATTACCCAGCTCTATGGACCGGCCCTATATTACTTTCCATAATATTTGACATTCAAACATTTACATTTTAAAACATTCAACGCACAAAGAGCAGTATGTAAAAATTTGACTTGTGACCCTTTGATATATTTATTTATCTTTGAGATTAGTTTTACTCCCATTCATTAAAGGATAGTTCAGTGGTATAGAGTTGTATTTTTTGATTGCCTTCTGTTTACGCTTATGTTTTTTTGTTTTTTTTTGAAAATTTCACATAGAAAATTGATTATGGTATATGAAAGTGGTAATAAAAAAGCAAAGAAAAGTTAGCTAAGAATAACTTCTAAATGGCATTTATGTTTAGATGTTACTTTTGTTTCTGTTTTCAGGTTTGGAATTTCAGCACTCTAATCTCAGGAGAGGATGCAATAGTTACTCCAGATCTTACTTCCTTCACCAGCATCCACACAGGCTCAGATATACCTGGAGCAAATTCTTGGAGGTACCACTGTTGCCTGATAAAGCTCATCCAAGTTTGCTGCAGGGAGACCACAGGCACAAGAGCTTGGAAAGCCTGGATACAGGGCCAAAAGTACTCACTCTCCTTTCGCTGCCCTGTGCATTGATGAACAGTAGATGCCCCTCAGTGCTTACTTAATTAAACTTGTTTTGGCTGGTCAGAAAAAAGGTGCAACCAAATGAAAGAACCTATTTAAAGGAGCATGCTTGAAACTTTATTACTGTAAGTCATTTTACTGGCAACTGCAAAACTAATTGTTCTTAACACTAACAAGGATTCTATCTGCGAAGCCAGGTTTGCTATTTAAAACTAGAAAAAAAATATGTGGAGACTGTCCAAAAATTATATTGTTTCTGCAATGAGGGATTATATAAAGAGGATTCATTTAAGTTGTTTTCTGGCTGGGCACGGTGGCTCATGCCTGTAATCCCAGCACTCTGGGAGGCC